ACTTATCGAGAGTCGCAGTCCTCCCTGCCCTTTGTCCTTCTGGATAAAACTAGCGTTAGGCAAAACAATTCAAGTCTGGGACCAAGGGCCAGACAACTCCTAACTTTGAAATCTAAAGCATCAGGGCCCAGTACATAGAAAATGCTATAGAAAGAAGGGCCACAGCTGAGGCCAATGAGCCTACAGATACAAGAATTCATGTGACCGTTAACTCCTACTTTGTGAAAACCCATGTGAGCTAGGAGCCAGAGACCCTAAGAATATAGTTAGAGTAAAGACCCAAGACGAAGTCACGAAATGGCTAAATTTTAAGAGAGAAACCCAACAGCCTAACTGCTTGCTTGGAGAGATCGGAGAGATGGCTCCAACAGTAACTCAGAGAGTCACCTAGGCGGCATGACCTAAAGCGATGGCTTTTTTCCTAGCCCCCCTACGTTCCAGGAAGAAGGTAATGGTCTTTATGACCCAAAGCTTTTAGGCAAAGAGTCTCCTGACCTTCACAGGCGCTCCAAAATTAAAGAGAAAAATAACCTAACCCATCCGACATGGGACCCGACCACAAGGGAAACACACACACAGTCCCACCCAAGAACAAGCACAGACGTAGCACTCCGACCCAAATGGAACCCCTCGCCCCAGTTCCTCTGGTTTACCTACATCCATGTCTCTAATTCCTCATAAGCCGTGGACAAGAAACCTTGTTCTTGCAGGTGCTGGGCCTGATCACCCCTGAATCCCCACATCCTTGTGTCACCAACTTCTGGAGGTTTTTTTTTTTTTTGGGGGGGGTGGCAGGGAGGAGGTCCTAGCTAGGAGTAGTAGTATTGCAAATACCCTGAAAAAAGAAGCCATATGGCCAACCATGGGCCCAGATCCCTGGATTGGATTGAAAACACACCGGGCACAGCACGCATGCATGGGCCCAGGATCTTAGAGCTATAAGAAAGGGGATGATGGAAAAGAAGCTAGAGAAAGGGGACCACCGTGTGACAAGACAAGCTAGGGAAAGGGGACCACCGTGTGACAAGATCCCATCGATGATACTTCTCTCTCGCTCGTGTGTGCGCACACATGGTTTGCATTATAAATATTTTTTTTATTTTTAAAAAGAATGATTTATTTTATTTTATTATTACTTTTAAACGTATTTATTTGTTCATTTAATTCCATTTGTTATTATCATTTTTAAAATTTGACCACAGAGAGAGAAAGGGAAAGTGAGAAAGCAAGTCACCAGGTCTGGGTCTCAAACCACGGTCAGCCATGTGGGAATCCAGCGACTTTAACCACCATGCCACCTGCTGACCCCTATCTTTTCTCCTTAATGCTCAAGAAATGAGGACTTTGCTCCTATGCTTCATTACTGTGGGAAGTCCATTTTTCTGCTCGGTCTCCTCCCCAATTATTTCTGAGTCTTCTTCCCAGGAGGTGTGGGCGAGGTCCCCAAGGGCTCTGGCCTTGTCTCTGACCAGGTCCCACTCTGCAGCACACGCCTGATTGCTCTCAGCGACAGGTGAGTCCCGGCTGCCACTTGAGTCTGTACCGAGGAGTTAGGACACCGGAGAGGAAGGACAGCAAGGATGCCGAGCTGCCGCAGGCTGCCACTCCCGGAGCCCAGGGTCCAGCACATCCTCCCGTCTGGAGGAGAGCGGTCTCCCGACCTACCTGGTGCACCTGGGGTTCCAGCCCACAGACAACCTTCGCTAAAGCCAGTCCCCTGGAGCCCACTGCACTTCTGGGAAACCCCACCAGACACTCCCAGTGCTTTGGCACTGGCCCTGGGCCTCCCGGGGACATGTCTGGGTCACGGGACATCAGGGTTTTCTCCAGTCCAGGACCACTCAGTCCGAAGTGCACCACTGTGAGAATCGGCTACTTGGACCACCTGAGATGAGCCAGATCCAGCCCAATTCCCGCTCATTTTCCTAAATTTTCTGTGGCTGCCTCTCCATCCTCTACGGAACACACACGTGCACCCTCTCTGCGTGGATACGTAGGCCAGAGCCATCGATGGAGAGGAGAGACTCCCCAGAGTGCACACGCTTCGCAGAGACCAAATGTCAGAGCGCCCTATGCAGCCTTCTGAGTGCCTGCGCTGGGCACCGGGGAGAAGGGCCTCCCCCACCTACCCTACTCGGGGCGCCGGCCCCCAGAACAAGGGGCTGTCTCAGACCTCACGAGCAAACTTGGGGCCCCTCTACCAAGCAGAATGTGCATTAGGCTTCGAAGTGACAGTACTAATGGTCCTCCTCCTGGGACTTCAAAGCACAGAGGGCCACAGTTCTGTCAGGACTCAGGATTAAAGCACCATGTGGCACCTCCTGCAGTGGCTTTGCAAGGAGGATGCGCCTTGCAGGCTCCCGGCCTGAAAGGGGAGCTGCGGGCCTGAGTTGGGGGCAGAGGGACATCAGAGTTTTCTCTGAAGTTTTGTCCTTCCATTTCATCCTCCCAGAGTTCACCTTGATCTGCTCAAAAGTCCAGGGGCCAGCAGGTAGCATGGAGATTAAGGAGCTGGATCCCACAGAGCCAACTCAGTGGTTCGAGTCCTGGACCTGGTGGCTGGAAAAACAAGCTGTGCATGTGTGCGTGTGCCCCAAGTGCTACGGGGAGAATGGAGGGGAAGGGGAGAAGGGGTTGTGGCATGGTCATCCCCCGGGGAGTGATTCTTCACTTCCTCTCTCTCTCTCTCTCTCTCTCTCTCTCTCTCTCTCTCTGGCACGCACGCACACTATAACAAAAACAAACAAAAAGCCCACATCCCCCAAATGTTCCCTCTTGGCTCTGTGTCCTGCACCCAGCAGAGCAGTCAGCTCAGGTGGGAAAAGTGAGGTGGCTGGGATGCAGTTTCCGGGGGCAGGACTTAGGGTCCCTTGTCCACCTCGGCAATGGGACTCCCACAGTGGCCTCAGGCAGCCTTTCTTTGGCCCTCATCCCACACAGCGGCCTGTCTCACACCCTCACAGCGGCTCATACCCTCACAGCGGCTCCGCACACCCACACAGCGGCTCCACAGACCCTCACAGTGGCTCCGCACACCCTCACAGTGGCTCCGCACACCCTCACAGCGGCTCCACAGACCCTCACAGCTGCTCCGCACACCCTCACAGCGGATCTGCACACCCTCACAGCGGCTCACACCCTCACAGCTGCTCCGCACACCCACACAGCGGCTCACACCCTCACAGCCGCTCCGCACCCCCACACAACCG